TTCGTCTCATTTCACTTCACAGCTCGAATCAATTTCTCATTCTGTAGCATATACTATTTACTGGATACGTTGACGAGTGTTGACAGCTGAAATCAACAATACAACAATCGAATTGAATTGCTTAACAACGTTCGACAGTCAAATGATCAATTATAGAGTGTATCTGATAGAATGAGAACATAACTTTACTTGTTCAGTGAATTGAATGAGAAATTAGCAGAAGAGAACACTTTTGGTGATAAAAGCTATGAGAGTGATTATAGCAGCAAGGAAAAGAATGAAAACTCTGTTAAAACGGCATTTAAAGACAAATGGATGTAACTTCAATGTTGCCATCAATTAATCGCATTTACATATCCAAGACGAAAAACACATTCACAATGGCTTTCTATTATAACATGACAACTGTACTAAATACTACTTTCCCGACCACCCCTTGACACGTCTAAATTACCCAAAATGGGTAATTTCACCCCGTATGAGAACCACTGCGTTAGAGGCACTTTCATCAGTAAAGCTAGATCTAGAACAGCAGACTTTTCATCGCCGACACATAGAGGTTCTCCATAAACCAAGATTTCATCCATCAGATAAATCAAAAAACCATTAAGTTACTGATATCAGTGATATGTATGCATTAAGGTGAAGTGACTGTGATTGTGGCACACACGTTACATTTCGCAATTACATTTTCGTCATAGCATGTTCTTCGTGATCGTTGGTGCTAATGTAAATGTACCAACATCAACAGATTTCACAGTTTCGGAATAACACAAATTGGTGACACCACTGAACATTTTTCGGAATAACACAAATTGGTGACACCACTGAACATTCAGCTGAAAATGAATCCAGTTCGCTCAGTAATCCGTTTCGCTATTTGCATTCCACATAACGCGCATCTATCTTCATTCGAAAACATGTTGATATCGACGAAACGAAATGTCAATTTGAACGTATGAATGATATAATCTGATATGTGCTTACCGAACTCACAGCAGAGAGAAGCGGTTATGACAATTTTGTTTGGCATAGAATTGTTAGTATTCGACAATGCGGAATGATATCAATATCAAAGTGATAACAAGAGCGAGCTATTACTGTTCACGAAAACGAGTGCGAAGGAATGCTTCAAAGCCCTGCACCACCATCATTTACGAATCTACAACGAATCAGATAATCAGAATAATCAGAAGCATTAGTTCGATTTTGTCACAAATATGCATAATTTCTCAGCGGCATATGATATGTTCACTGATCCATTCCGCAAATAAACATTTTACTCATATCAGAGCTCTTTCTCTGTTCCTATCTTTCATAAATTGACGTATAACGAAAATATATGAAATCCTTGCTATCAGACTGAAATGCGTGGAGACTTATCCGGTTAATGAGGAGATGCATTAGAGACATCAAGAACTATCCGTGGTAGCGAAGATGGTCAGGAAACAACCATGGGAGGTGGTTCTTTTTGCATTGAATTAATTTCCATTGCGCACGGCCCAGGGTCTTGAGAGCTGATAAATAACCTGGTATACTTGACTGAAGGCATGAAACAATTCAGTCTTCCCGCCTTGATAGTTGTTGCAAAAATCTGCATTTTTTTCAAAAGTAACATGGTATTTTCGTGGATGTGTATCAGTTGAATACTCATCGATGACGGCTTTGTCAAGATGTGAGCTGAACCTCGAAATGCGTTGGGAGCGTATTAGATCGTTCGAAAAAGAATTGCTATGTCTTTATGGATCAATTCAAGCTAAAATTGATGCGAGAAGCGAAAATTCAGCTGAATGTTGCATCAGATCGTTCAGCAATCCGATATGATATTTCTATTTTTAACTCGCATATAATTTCGCTCGAAAATATGTTGGTTTCGACGAAATGAACCGTCAATTACGTCAAACGACTGATATAATCTGATATCTATTCCCAAACAATAGAAGAAAATAACACTGACAACTGTGTTTGGCATAGAATGATTATTATCCCATAAACTGGAATAACATCAACATCAAAATGATAACAAGAGCGAGCTATTATTGCTCACGAAAATGAGTGAGAAGGAATGCTTAAAAGCCCAGCAAAGTCCTGCATACACCATCATTAACCAATCTACAACGCTCGTGATGTGGCATCTGATTCTTCTTGTGATCGCTGTAGCCGTTTGCGAGGCTAGAGTTCCAGGTCAGCCCTTAACTTTGATCAGTATCATTGTGCTTGAATTTCATTAGTTGAAATCTTAACTGGACACTTTCGATTCCGCATGAAGCGATAGCTTTACGTGATCTGCTATATTCCAAAAACTGGACATCGAAAAATTGCCGATGTTTTCTGACATGTTATACTCCGATCTCAGAGTGTACTTTTGCTTCTATTGAGTGGAATCATTTCCTGAAGCGTTTCTTATTTAATTCTGTGCTCATTCCAGCTCTCCCACCATCACCAACTGCATCACCAACAACAGTCGCGGCAATGACCAGTGATGATCCACATGTGATAACAGGTGCGTTCCGTTCACTGCTCAAGGGTGCAGAAGTGGCGCTCATTACCGGAGAGTTGATCACAGTTGCTCGTTGACTGTTTCACGCTTACAATCATTAGGAGAACTAAACCTGCTCATGCGCTGCACTGAAGCAAGAGTATCAATGTGAATGTTTATGAAAAACCTGAAACTTTTGATAACTCAACTGAATTACAGATCAAGAGCATTGCGAACGGAATTATAGAACATGCTGTATTCGAGCATGTACGGTGCGTGGTCGCTCACCTGAAAGCCAACCCAACCTTCCTTGGTATATCGAAAAATGTACAAACATGTACAATAAGTGTTTGTTGAAGCAGTAAGGTAAGCTTGCTCACTTTCAATGGATCAGCGATTTGACTTTCTAAGATCAAATAATCACCTGGGCTAACTTCAACCCTAGCTTTATCTTCTTCAACACGCTAATTTTTCGAACAGTCAGCACGGAACATTACTCGCTTCGACAAACGGAAAGTCCCTCTCATAAGCGAACTCTTTTTGAACGACTTTTTTCACCTGCGGATGTGATGAGAGAGTTATTGAAGGTTCGGTGTTGAGATGTCATTAGGAAATAGGTGAAACTGCACGGAACAGCTAATGAACAATGTCTATTTGAAGGCGTGCAGGAGTGAAGTCGTCAGTAATGCGAGAATTGTGTTTGTCTCATATTCACCTGCTGAAATAGAATTCATCCTTGTCGACGACTACATGGCTATTATTCATCTGCATAGTGATATTGTTGTTACATGGTGCTCATTATCGTTTGTGCTAATGCAAATGTCCCTAATTCATCAACAATTTCATAATTTTACGATAACTCATCATTTGTTTGCTGCTGTTTGTTAAAAATAAAGAACTTGTTGAACATATCGACGTTTGAAACATCGTAATCTCAGTTGCTCGGGGCACTCGTTTCAATACACTCTATATCTATTGATCAATCCATAAATTAGCGTGGCAGCATGAAGGTCACCATCTTCAAACGGTCGTTCTTCTCAAGTTTGCCCAGTAATTTGGTTATTTCTTCGCATCGGTAGATTTTCCAGATTCCCTGCATTCAGAAAAGCACATGTACAGGTGAACGATTTTGCTTTCGTGAGGAGATATAGCCGATTTTCTGAACCTATCTCATGTAGCTGGGCAGCGCTCGTTTCAATGCATTGTATCACTATTGATCACTGTGAACATTACCAATACAGTAGTATAATGACCATCTTCAAACTTACGGTGTTCTCAGGATTGCCCAGTAACATGGCACTTTCTTTACATCATCAGATTCCTCAGATTCTC